GATGATAATTCTCTTCCTAATTAACAAAAGTGGGACCAAATCCAAACAAGGAGATTATAGTATCATAGCATCGTGCGTCATATTTACCAAAAGAAAAAAAATAGTAACTTGCGTCACGAGATGAGAGTAGGGTTGGTTGACCACTAGATTTTGGACATATTCATCACCAAACCGCTTGTACCACAGCTCTTGTTTCTTTCTCCATAAGTCCATAACTCCGAGCGGCTACACTGAGGACCCTCTACTGTCACTATATTTCATATATAAAATATTAAACTAAAAATGGTATTTGTCAATCTTTATTTTTTAAAAATTAAAATTTTAATATTAAATGATATTATTTATTTTAATTAAAATTTAATTTAAAATCTAAAATTTTATTTTATTAAATATTAATTTATCTTTAAAAAATTAAAAATTCAATTTAATATTCAAAATTTACTTTTAAAGCCAAGAGTCATATGGACTATTCTCAATCTTTTTGTTTTTTTAATGTTGGTGGAAGATGCATACCATTGAGGATGGTTTTCTCCTCTTCTATATGCTTCATTGACTATTTCCAAAGTACCTAAATGGTTATTTTTTTTCGCTAGAAATAAAAGATTTTAAGTTCGAATTGCATAACATATGAATGCGATGAGATAAGAAATGAGATTGTGCAACCAAGATAAAAAAAAAAAAAAAATCCTTCCCTAACTATTTCAAAGTTTAATTTTGAAACTTAATTTGAAATCTCAAATGGATAATATACTTCTTTGAGTAAAAATTTAGATGAGAAATTTTGTATGTTTGGTGGAAATTTTGAATAAATAAAGTTAGAAGTTAATATTTATCCATCTTATCTCTTAAATATTAGATGAAAAATTATTTCAAAATTATATAATTTTAATAAAGTATTACAAAAAAAAAAACTACTCTAATTGATACTTTAAAAATAGAATATTTTATTTTTTTAATAAAAATTTATAAAAATGACGTAATTTTTTAATAATTTTTTTCTTAAGTAATAAGACAAATAAACACTATTCTTATAAAATTATAACATAATATTATACTATCCTCATTTTATTTAAAGAATAATATTATAGTTTGTTTTGGCACTTGACCTTTCGGGCCAATTGACAACCTACCAATTTGAAGTGCATCCTCCTCTCTCATGGACGGGTTTCGAGCCCACCCCTTGACAACTTGTTCAAAAAATATATATATATTATAGTTTGTTTCGGGTGTACGAGTTGATGGAAATCAGGGAATTGGAATGGGCCCACATAACATGTGGATTGGTGGGTGGAAATGGGTCTGGGATTCATAAAAGATGAGACAGATTGGGCCCTCCTGTGAACTAATAATAAGGTGTACCAACTAAAGCCCAATCATTCAAACTAAGAGGCTAACATGACAGAACTTACACAAGGGCCATGGGCCCATGGCGTACAAACGAAGGAAAACATGTTCCTCATCCGCATGTTTAATCTATTAGTCTCCAGAGCCTGGGTCCAACTTCACTTTAAAAAGGTAGTGCCATACCACCATAGGAATAAAATTTGTAGACATAAAAGAGGCATAACCTGAAAGCCCTCTAATTATTTGTTTTTGAAACTATTAATTAACTCCTTAATATACATTTTATATATTTTAATTCATAAACTTCATGTTACTATTAAAATTAACTTAAAATATACAAAATTTCATCACGTTAGTCACATGAAAGTAGTGTTATCACTACTCCGTTACTCTATCGTCATTGGGGCCATACTAGCATAATATAGTCCACTTGAACCTATGGAGAAAGAAAATCTCACCTAGAGCATGTATGGGGGGTCTCATCCTGGACAAGATTTTCCACTTCCATGAGTCCAAATGGACCACATTTATACCAGCGTAGCACTAATAAGGATAAGCTAATGAAGTAGAAATAGCCACAAGGCTAAGTACACAAAGTATATGTTGAAGAGCTAATAGTTTCAAAGACAAAAAAATTGAAGGGCTACTAGAGAGTTTAAGCCCAATATTAAAAAGAAAAATTAGGACAATAAAGTACATTCTTTTAAACCAATCAAATTATAAGGTTGAAAACATAGCATGCCCATAACACAATCTTGGGTAAACGAATTCACAGCATAGTACGCCCATAGCATAATCTTGGGTTCACATAAATAAACAAAATAGAAAAACATGACATGCGGAAGGTCAGATGAAATCCAATATAACCACTTTTCAAAAAGATGAATGAAAAACAACTAAAATTCCCAAAGGAATGTTTAAGGATTCCATCAGACAAGAAATATAACAGCTTAGGCGCCTGGCCATTCTAATAGAACAAGCCAGAGGGGTGTCTAGAACAAGAGAAAAATCAAGTCACACTCAGCAAGACTACATGAAACTAGTTGGTTGAAGACCTAAGTATTAGTGGCTCTGGTGTAGATCTGCTGGCTTGCATGGGCTGACACCAACCTGATCAACCCTCTTGCCATCAATTCCCTTATAGCCTTCCTTGCAAGTGATCCACTAATCTGTAAGACATATATGATCCAAAGTGAGACAGATATGTAAAACTTGATTCTCAAAATATGTAAAACATCAACATGTCAGACAAATGAGACAAAGTGGCAACTTCAAAGCTCAAGTTATACCAAATTAGATTAAAATTAGCAATCTGAATATCAAACAAAAGATCAAGGACTTGCAATAGGCAAAACAAGAAGATGGCATACATGAGAGATCACGGGAAGTCAAAAACATACATGAAGTTAGTAAATCGGTTGTCAAATGAGGTTTTAATCCAAAACATGGCATACCCATTAGTAACACCCAAATAAACAACCACCAGACCAATGCCAAACTTGTCAAGCATAAAAAAGCAACAGGCTTTCCAATATGGAGTAACTAAGAGAGAAAACAAGACACTATACAAAATCAAAATATCTATGAGATTGTATAAACAAAAAAGCAAATAAAAAAACAAAAGGAGGGACAAAATGAAATACCCTCAAACGATCAGAGAGAACAGATGAGGTAATGAGCTTGTATTTTGGTGCCTCAGAGAGGAGCTTGTCATAGGTTGCCTGATCAAATAGCACCATGTTGTTCACCTTTTCCTTCTGCTTCCCCTTGCTCCACTTCTGTTACCACAAAAATCACCAAAACCCAGACTTCTTATCGACTAAACTCAAAATAAACTCCCAAATTTTACACCATGATACACAAGAAATAATGCTGAAAATCGAATCATTGTATATACAAAGGACCTAGCAGCCTACCCATATGCATATGTAACTCAATAGTAGTATATTTTGTGGGATTTATAAGTTTTGAAGGAACAGATTACCTTCTTCTTCTGCTTTCCACCTCCAGATTTCGCGGGCTTGGAGGACGGAGGAGGGGCTTTATCCTTCTTCGGAGCCTGAAAAACGAAAGGCAAAAGGATCTAATCTTTTTCAAATCCGAAAACAATTTTCTTCAATTTTCATGGAAAAGTCTAGAAAAACAGAAGAATCGATGAGAATTCGGTGGGTTACCATTCGATCTGATGAGAAGCAGAGCCGAGGAAGCAGAGAATGGCGGAGAGAAAACAGAGCGAGGCGTCCGGATAGTGGGAATTATAAGCCCTAGGGTTTCCTCACCCTAAAGTCAAACGGCATCGTTTGATTTCGGGCCTATTTTGCTTAAATGACAATAATCCGTAGAA